TGTGAAATATGCTTCTGCCCGCTTAACGATCCAGAACAGAACCACTCAGAACTTAAGCCACCTGTCCCAAGAGTGCAGCACGCTGTTAGTGCCTCAGTTGTCTCACCTGTAGAATAGGGATAATTACAGTATTGACTTCCAAGGGTGGTTGTGGGGACTGAATCAGTTAACAGGTGTAAAACCTTCAGAACAGACCTGGCACACTGCAATCAGTAAGTTTTAGCTCTTATTAACAGTGTGAAACTGGAACCAACACCTCTGGACTCCAAGTCAATACCAGTGTTCTGTATCCCATTAATTTCCAAGGCCCCTAATGCTGCCTTTTACCTATGTCACTGTCATGAAAGCCAAAGACCACCATTCAGCTCTCTGCCTTCACTAGGGGACTCCCTAAACTCTGAGACCCCAAGCACAGCAGAGAACTCAGAGTTGCTTTCTAGAGCAGCGGTCACCAACCGGTGGTCCGCAGACCACTGGTGGTCCTTGATGTCCGAAAGGTTGGCAACCGCTGTTGTAGAGGCCTGGGCACTGATGACCTGCTACTGAGCCCAAGGTTTCCCGAGGCAATCAACAGGCTGGGGGGAGTTTTCAGGCTGACAACCAATCCACTGCTAAGACCCTGGTCTCCCTCCCCTCACTATACTCCCCCTCACCCCCGCCCCCTCAGCTTACTAAAGTCTACTTCCTTCCCTGCTTCTCCTTGCTTCTATACTCCCTCAGGGAACCTCTACTGTTTTCTGGGATACCCATCACTCCTGACCTTCCGCTGGGATCATTTGGGCATATGTCTTCTGCCCGAATGAGGAAACTTTGTGGTGCCTCTTGTAATACAGTGTCAAGCCCCTAAAGGTACCCCAAGAGCAGCAAACATCAAATAACTGGTAAAGCAGAGCTACTGTTTACCAAGTTTGGATAAGCTAGGTTCCTCGCTTTCTAATTTGGTTTTATGAGCCTGGAGAGTTTGTCCTGGTTTTTTTAGTTTGTTTTGTTTTGTCCTTAGGATCAATGTGCACTTTAAAAGAAAGCACCAGAATTTCTGAGTTTTACACTGACCTCAAGGCTTGCCTGCTGTCTTCTAAGTGGTAGTAATCATGAATTTAGTCTTAGGTGCTTTAGCAAAGGAAACAAGGAGATAAAAATGAACTGTTGCCCTAACCGGTTTGGCTCAGTGGATAGAGTGTCGGCCTGTGGACTCAAGGGTCCCAGATTCGATTCCGGTCAGGTGATGTACCTTGGCTGCGGGCACATCCCCAGTAGGGGGCGAGCAGGAGGCAGCTGATTGATGTTTCTAACTCTCTATCCCTCTCCCTTCCTCTCTGTAAAAAATCAATAACATATATTAAAAAAAAAAAAAAAAGAACTGTTGATGCCTTAGCATTTAAAAGTTAAATAGAGACACTAATTCATTAACCAAATAATTTACAGGATTGCTAATCTGGTGTTTAAACGCCTGGAGGCTCTCCTGAATGCCACCACTAACTCCTTTGGGGCAAGTCCTGTGCTTTTATGGGCTTCAGTTTCCTTCCCTGTGAAACAGAAAGCCAGATCGACACCTAAGACCGCTATGGACTCTGCAGCTTCTGTTATCTACATCATGGTCTGGGTAGGACTTGTTCCATGTATGTTCAGAGAGAAAAGGACAGACACAGAAGTCTATTAAACAAGGTTAGAGAAGACCAAGAACTGAATTTAAAAGCTGCCCTCTTCTTTTAGATATTGGATTATTTATGTGTCAAAATAATTTGTTAAGACTATAGAAATGCCTCTGAGCGTTCACTAGAGAGCTGATGCTAATGTTGGGAAAACACTACTCTCCATTTGGCCCAACTGAAATAAATGATTCCACCTTCTCTCTTCACTACCTACCCACAGGTCCTAGGCTCCCTTCTTTCAGGCCCACCTTCTCTGCCAACTTCTGATTCTCATTCCTGTTAATTCTTTACAATATTCTGTAGGAAGCCCTTGTTAATGAGCCAACCTGCTTTTTCCTCCTGTGACCGATTAGAATTTAAGTCTTCTACAGGTCCTCAAACTTTCCAAATTAAGTTCCTTTAGGACAAGTCCAGACCATTCATTAACCATAGTGAAGGAGGAGACAGTCTGAGAATGAAGAGCCTGTAAAATACAGTGACCTAAATAACACTACAGGGACTCAGTAAAAGTATGGAGTACAGGCATACCTCGTTCATTGTGCTTCCCTTTTTTTTTAAACCAACTGAAGACCCTCCACCAGCAAAAAGATTCCGACTGGCTCCATTGTGATGATGTGGACCACACCTACTGGAGGAGGTGTGCCTGTACGTAGAGTTGGTTCAACTGAGACCTTAAGGCAGATGAACCCTTTTGTTCTGTTTCAAAATTACCCTAAACTGCTGAAGACCGGAAAGGGTGGCTACAAAGGATTTTCTCCTTAAATGACAGCTGAGCCAGATTATCTCTAAAATACCTTCCAGCTCTAACATTCCTGAATATCAGTATGTTGTAAAGTCAGCACCACACCGCAGAGTAAGACTGCTAAACTTTGGAAGCTGAAGCCGGGAAAATGGAATAATTTGGGTATGTGTTCTCCACTTTAAATATTTATAGCAAAAAAGTGTTCTCCACTTTAATATTAATAGCAAAGGACAAATAAACAAAAAACCCTGGATGCCTATTTACTGCTTTCTAAATTAACACGACATGTAAATTTCAATGTGAGTTTCATAAAGTGGAGGCAATGTCACTTCAGTGCTCCATCTCTGAGTCAAGAACATCACCTGGCTCATAATAGAAGCTCATATATTAATACTCCAAACTACTGAAAGGAACATATTAAGTGACCTAAAGCAACATACTTCTTTTCTATAGTTGTTTTAGTTCACAAAGGAAGAAAATACCAATGCTTCTGTCAACTAGGTGTTCCTAGGAAATGGGATGTGTTCCATGGTCAAACAAGTTTGGGAGACTTGAACAAGAACACTGCCCATCTCAAAGGGGATGATGGTAGAAGATTCAAAATACAGCCTAAACTTACTGAGGCCATGAGGTCCTCCTTATCTGGGCACTTACTGACACGCCCAGGCTGCACGGCAACCCGATGTCATCTTAGGGATAAAGGAATGCTCCCCACAGCCTTGAAACAACTTGTCCCAAGTCCCATGCAATCGGTTCCGACAAGCCATGATAAAAGTGAGTTTAACTCCAAAGCCCATGGTATCAACCACTGTTTACTGTGGAGTTGTGACAAATTCTCCAGGTGGGGAAAGTTTTACTAGTGTACAGTTGACTCTTGAACAAGGGCTTGAACTGTATATGCTGATTTTTTCAATAAATACTATAAATTTATTTTTTCTTATGATTTTCTTAATAACATTTTCTTTTTTTTTCTAGTTTACTCTATTGTAAGCATCCTATACAATAAAGATATAGTATGCAAATTGTCCCGTCTGGGCGTTTGACCTGGGGGCGGGGCAGCAGCCTCTAGTACAGTGTATAAAATACATCAGTAAGGCTTCTGGTCAACAGGAGGCTAATGACCAGACCACTCATTTCAGAGAAAGGGGTCTGAGAGTCAAGTGAAGAGCTTATAAGATACAGGTGAGCTAAAAGAATCTACTGGAAAATCTTTTCAAAACAAATACGTGTATTCGCCCTGGGGGGAGCGTGTGCTTTTCGGGATGGATGGGGCAGGGATGGGCATATAAAGCGAAAGCCTAGTTTGAAAAAGGATCCCAGGTGATAGTCATCATGTCCCTCAACCCACCGTCAAACAAAGACTTGAAATGGGACAGGGAGTTCTCTTGGGATGAGTTTGTAAGATCTTAAAGTCAGACAAAAGTTCCAAACAAAATGCCTTATCCAAACCCACCCCAAATCCTCTCCATTCTAAAAGGTTCATCCTGGGGTAGGGAGGGCACCATTACCAATTTGAAAGGATCTAGGCCTTGAAGCAAGACAAATCTGGATTCACAGCACCTGATTTATAAAAAAGTTTGTAAAGAAAGCAGCAATACAACGTGACTTCCCTTATAAACTGATTAACCGTCATTGTTTATGTCTAATCATTAATTTCACCATTTATAGAAAGAGGAAGGACTTCTAAAATTATTACCTAAAGTCACTTACCTAAGACCATTAGGACCTAGTTGGGACTCAGATGAATAACCTCAGACCCTCCTAGCCCATGGCCCTCTCCTCTCTGAGCACGAGCAAGATGTGAGTGCTGAGAACCCAGGATGGACTCACCCCCTAACTGCAATGAAAACTCGGAAGCCAGGACTGCCTTCCCAAGGCAGGCGAAGCCCCCTGCCTCACTGAGCCCAGTCTTTCCGGTAAATAAAACCACTTCCATGCCAGCCTCTGAGGATTAAGAAACCGTTCAAGAATGTAAAGTGGGCGAAAAAGACGTTAGATATTGTGATGTGAGAGCTCTGGGCCCACCTGGGGGTTAACTGTTCCGCTGGGCCCAGAGGACTCGGCCAGAAAGCCGGCAGCTTGCGGACTGCCCCGGGACGCCGGGCTGGCGGTCTCGGAGGAAAAGGAAGAGTAGGAAGCAAGAGTTTGGGGGGTGGAGCTGGGGGAGGGGGCCGTGAGGATATTTGGAACCAGGCAGGGAGGGGAAAGAGGAGAGGCCCTGGAGAAGGAGGGGGCTTATGCAGTTCTTCCACCAACTCTGAACCCAACCTCCCCCCTCCCCTCCCGATCTTAAAAGTACTAGTCGTTCCTTAATGGCTCGCACGCACTGAGCACTTACTGAGACAATGATTAGAACTCAGCGAGCGCTTGTTATGAAAATACCAGTTAACGTCCGTCCCAGGGACCATTCTGGGTCCCAGGCTGCGACGCGGGCCCCAACGCCAGGGCCCGGAGGGAGAGGAGGGTGTGTCTGGGCCCAGGGTGACAGGACCCAGTGGTCCCGAGGTCACTCTGGCCGAGCCGCCCACAGCAGCGGGTCCCGGCCCCGCGCGGGCGGGCGGGCGGGCGGGCGGGCCGGTCCCGGTCCCGGTCCGCCGGGCTCCTACCTTTGAGCGAGGTCTCCACCAGGCGCAGGTAAAGCTGCGAGTTCTTGTTGCCATGGCTCATGCGCTGGGCTAGGCCGTTGCGCTGCAGGACACACTCCTCAAACTGCACCACGTTCTGGTGGCGCCGCTTGAGGCTGGTCAGGGCCCAGAACTCCGCCAGCGCCAGCTCCACGTTTTCCGGGGCGTCGCAGCGGATCTTCTTGACCGCCACCCGGGCCCCGCTGCGCCCGGCCACGGCCTCGTAAACCACGCCGTAGCTGCCGCGCCCGATCTCGGCCACCAGGCTGTAGCGCGGCTGCGCGGACCCGCCGCCACCCTCGGGCCGCCGCCGAGCCAGGTAGGCCTCGCCGGGGGCTTCGGCCGCCACCGGATCCATGGCCTGGGCCGCAGCCACTGGCCTCAGCTTCGCGCTGGGCGCCCGCGGCACTGGGCTTCGCCTTTTCCTCTCGGGGCTTTGTGTACCTCGGCGGGCGCCGTCCGCCTCCCCCGTTTCCATGGCTGCGGGCGGCGGGGGGAGCAGCAACGGCGCTGCCCGGCCCCCCCCTGCCTCATCCCTCCGTCCGGCCCCGGGACGCAGAGGAGCGGGTGCTTGGGTTGTGACCTGCGGGTGAAAGAATCGGTTAAACGACCAGGCCGAGGCGCGGAGGCAGGGAACGCAGACCAGAGGGCGCCCCACCTCCTCCTCCTCCGGCCGCCGCGGCCCCTTTAAGACGGAAGCCACCGCGGCTGCTGGAACCCGGGAGGGGAGGGGAAAGCGGGAAAGACGAAACCACAGGCCGTGGCTCGGAGGGGAACTGGAGAAAAAGCAACACCCCCACCACCTTCCCAGTTAACTGATCGTCTAGGAGTAGGAAAAACAAGTTCTCGCAGACTTTACGAGTTATTACAATCGCCTTAAGAAGCCACTCAGACTGTGGAAATCTTATTTCCTGCCCGCCTCCCTGTGGGATCCCCCCTCCCTGCTTCCCGCCTAGTGTTCTCCAGCGTGTAAACCGTCCATTGAATTAAGTCCGAGCGGAGCCGAGCAGACCGACCCACGTCTCCAGGGCGGCGGGTGGAGAGCGTCGGCTTAAACTTTCGGCGGCCCTGCGTGCGCCAGGTCCGGGGCCCGGGGCCGTTCCCCGGGGCCCGAGGCGGTGGGGAGAGCTCCAGCCCGAGCACTTACTTTTCCTCCGCAGACCGCGCCCTTACCTGGCCGGAGCCCCTCCACTTCCGGACGGCGGGTTTCCCCCCAGGAGTCTCGGGCTGGGGATGGTGCGCTCCCAGCCGGGGCTGCCTTAGGTACCGAGCCGCGCGGGAGCCGACGGCCCGCGCCGGGCGTGCGCCGGAACCTGGTGCGGCCCCGGAGGTTGCCGCGGCGCGCGCGGGGGAGAACCCGGCGTCCGGGCTCCCGCGGCTCCGCACGCGCTCGCGCCAGCTGAGCCCTTTACATAACCGCTTTACATAAGGCGCGCCTTCGGCGGGCGCTCGGGCCAGCGGGGGCTCCTGGTGGCCCATGCCCCGGAGGCCAGCCGAGCACCGAGCCGAACGCTTTCTGCCGAGGTCGACGGAGCAGCCGCAGACGGGGCCCAATCACAGGCGAGAACAGCCAGACTCCAAACGTAGGCGCCAAATTCCCGCGATCCGCCGCGGCCCCGGGTCGCCGCCGCCGCCGCCGCCGCGCACGCACCGCAGCCTCCTCTCCGCCTGTACTGAGCGAGGATGATCTGCACGCAGTAGGCGCGTAATAAATACGAATTGGTTGACAGGATTGGTCGGTTTGGTGGATTTATAATAGCTTCTTCCTGGGAACCGCCGGGCTAGGTTTGGAATCGACACCCCGCCTCCAATTAATCCCTTTATCTTCGGTAAATCATTTCTCAGATTGGAGCTTCATTTTCCTTTTTGCAAAATAAGACTGAGCCTTACCTCCAGGGTTGCAAGGATTTTTAAATATTTTGTTCACTGCTTTGTACCCCAGTGCCTAGTAAATGCCCAATGTTTGTTAACTGAATCTACAGGTACTTATTAAATTCCTGTAATGTGCTAGGCTCTCTTTTTAAGTCGCTAAAGAGCAGCGAACAACAGTTTCTATCTTAATTGAGGTTCTGTGCCAGGTGAGACAAATCAAGTAGGTCACCTTGGGCAAGTTAATCAACTTTCTTGTGTCTCCATTCCTCGTCTGTAAGATAACAATAATTGTAGGATTCACTGAGCTTGTACTATTAAAGCACTTAGAACAGGACAGGGCCTTGCATACAGAAAAATAGGTATTATTAAAGACACGATACAGCTTTTTACAAGAAGTGTAGTGGAGAAAAAGAATGAGCTAAAGAGTTCCTGGGGGTTGGGGACAGGCCATTGTGATAGTGTGATCACTTAAAGACTCTTTTATATGTAAAATTTCAAAGTTATGTATAAATTGCAAGAATAGTAAAGAATTCTCATGTTTTTCAACCAGAATAACAAATTGTTATATTTTGCTGCATTCTCACTATCACGTTTCTCTTGTGTATATATGAGTGTAAAACATGAATTTTGGTTTTTTCCCTAAATCATTTTACAGTAAGTTTCAGACATCATGTCCCTTTATCACCATATGCTCTGTGTGTATTTCCTGAGAACAAGGATGTTCTCGTGCATAATCTCAGTACAGTTATCAAAATCAGCTATTTTAATAATATGATTCTTTTACTTAATACACCTTCCATATTTAAATTTTGCTAATTGTCCCAATAATGTCCTCTACGGTATTCCCAAGGATCCAGTTGAGGATCACTTGCTGCATTTAGTTGTCATGTCTCTTTACCTTCCTTTACTCTGGAAGGACGATTACTTAGCCCTTCATCTTTCATGCCTTTGGCTTTTTTAAGAGTGTTGGAGAGTTATTTTGTAGATGTCCCTAAATTTGGATTTGTCTGAAGTCTTCTCATGATTAGATTCAGGTTATGCATTTTGTCAGGAATACCACAGAAAGTTGGCTTCTCAATGAATCACAATGGGAGGCACATGATGTTGATTTGTTCCAATGCTGGTGATGTTAACTTTGATCATTTGATTAAGGTGGTGTCCGCCACGATACTCCACAGAAAAGTTAACTCTTTTTCCCTTTGTAGCTATTAAGCATCTTATGGGAAGATATTTTGAGACTAACCTGTTCTTCATCAGACTTTCAGCATTCATTGATGATTCTTACACGGATCAATTATTGTTGTTGCAAAATGGTGATTGAAAGGCCTCTGTATTGGTCTGTTAGGTCTGCCCATAATAAAATTCCACAGACTCGTGGCTGAACAGAAATTTGTTTTCTCACAGTTCTGGGGGCTAGCAGTTCAAGATCAAAGTGTTGGTAGGTTTGGTTCCTCCTGAGACCTCTACTTGATTTACAGATGGCCTGCCTTCTGACTGTGTCGTCACAAAACCTTTCCTGGGATATCTTTTCCTCAAGGACACAAATTAGATCGGATTAGGAGCCCAATGGACTCTTTAACTTTATCTCCAAATATGTTACATGCTAAGGTACTGGGGGCTTGTGAATTCAGCAGGCAAATTTGGGTAGCGTTGAAGTTGGGCGTGAGACAATTCAATCTATGACAGTCTCCGTGAGATATGACATCGAGCTGAGACCTGAAGCCAGCCATGCTACAACTAGTGGAAAGGCATTTAAGGAAGAGGGAACAAGTACAGAAGCCAGGAACAAAATTGATGTTAAACTTCAGCCAATTGGTGAGAGTGTAAAATTGTACAATCACTTTGGGGAAAATAATCTGGCAGCTTTTTATTCATCTACCTATGGCCCAGCGATTCTATGCTTTGGTATTTATCCAAGAGAAATGAAAACTTATGTTCACAAATACATTTGCATAAGAATGTGTACAGTGGCTTTTCCCATTAGAGTCCCAAATTGAACTCTGATGTTTATCAAGAAATGAATGGAGCCCTAGCCGGTTTGGCTCAGTGTGGATAGTGTCAGCCTGTGGACTGAAGGTTCCTGGGTTCAATTCTTGTCAAGGGCACGTACCTAGGTTGCAGACTTGATGGTCCTAGTCAGGGCGCATGCGGGAGGCAACCAATGGATGTGTCTCTCTCACACCAATGTTTCTCTCTGTCTGGCTCCCCCCTCCCTTCCACCCTCTCTAAAAATCAATGGAAAAATACTCAGTGAAATGCTGCTTGGGGAAAAAAAGGAATGAAGTATTGATACAATAGCATGAATGAATCAAAATAATTACACTGAGTAAAAGAAGCCAGGCACAAAAGTGAACATACTGGATTATTCTAATAAACAATTCTTGAACATGCAAAACTAGTTTGTAGTGGCATAAAGCACATCAGTAGTTGGGGTGGGAAGGCAGGGATGGAATACAGAGGTGTAGGAAACTTTTCAGGGTGATGGATTTGTTATCTTGAAATTCTCGTGTGCGAATAGTTTCAAGAGACATGTGCTAAAACACTTCAATACTTTCAATAGGTGCTGTTTATGTACATTAATTTTACAGCTTCACCTCAATAAAGCTATAAAAAATGGAGGAAAAAGTATATATGATTCCATTATAAAGTCAAACAACACTGAACCATGGTGGCAGGAATTATACCAGTGGTTATCTTTGGGGTGAGAATTGAGAACTAAGGGACACAAGGCAATTTTCTGGGTGGTAGCATTTTATTGTATGCATATTATACTGCAATAAAGTTGATGTAAAAGGTGAAAAAACAGAATCCTGCCACCAGAACACCCATATCTTTACTTAGAGCTTCGAAGGACCAAAGGCTGCCTGGTACTCAGCAGGGCTGGCCATTCCTGCAGTCACTGGCCCTATAGGCTGAGCAGGGCCCGTGGAGTCTCTCTTCTGCTTAGTTTCCTGACCTGAATTTTAAGAGACGGGGTCTGAAGGTCTCGGACAGGGGTCCTCAAACTTTTTAAACAGGGGGCCAGTTCACTGCCCCTCAGACCGTTGGAGGGCCGGACTATAGTTTAAAAAAAACTATGAACAAATTCCTATGCACACTGCACATATCTTACTTTGAAGTAAAAAAACAAAATGGGAACAAATACAATATTTGTATTTGCATGTGGCCCGCTGGCGGTAGTTTGAGGACCCCTGGTCTAGGATATCCACAAGGTGTGAAATCCTTTTGTATGCTGTGAGAAGGACCAGCTACTTGCAAAATTGTTGCTGGCTTGAGCTTTTTTTCTTTATTTTTCTTGAGTTGCAGCAGTAACCTATTCTTGGTATGGCTAATAGCCAACTTTTACTAAAGTTTTCTATCTGTCAGGCACAGAAATGAACCAAGAATTCTCATGCCCATCCTGTGATGTAGTTACTATCATTAGCTCCGTTTTACAGATGAAGAGACTGAGGGAGGAGGTCACAGAGCTGGATTGGAGCTGAGACCCGGGCTTTTCACACCACCTGACCCTGCTCAGCTCTCCCTGCTCAGCATTTTCAACCAACATGCCGACCTCCATATCCCTGGAGCCTCAGATGTGTCAGACACATGGCTGGAGCTCAGTATTTAGTGACAGAAGAAATGGAGGCGAAAGGGAAGGGCAACAGTGAGGTGTTAGGCCCTTTCAGTGGGCCCCTCCCTGCCTCGCGGGACTGACAGAAAATAAGACATCATGGGATTATGTGACTCCAAACCACCTTAGTTTACAGAGGACAATAAAGCAGGGTGGGCGCTGCTTTCGAATGGATGGTTTGGGAAACCTCTCTGAGGAGGTGACCTTTTTTTTTTTAAAATATATGTTATTGATTTTTTACAGAGAGGAAGGGAGAGGGATAGAGAGTTAGAAACATCGATGAGAAACCTCGATCAGCTGCCTCCTGCAAACCTCCCACTGGAGATGTGCCCGAAACCAAGGTACATGCCTCTGACCTGAATCCAACCTGGGACCCTTCGGTCTGCAGGCCGATGCTCTATCCACTGAGCCAAACCGGTCAGGGGTGAGGAGGTGACCTTTGAGCAGAGACCTGCCTGAAGTAAAGGCACAGCCAGAGGCAGATTTACTAGAAGAGCATTCCGCGTCAGAGGAAGGAGTGCAGAGGCCCTGCGATGGGCGCTGGGAGGAGCTGTGGGAAATGAGAGGGGAGTGGAGGCTGTCATGGGGCAGGGACTGGAGGGCCATGGTGAAGACTGGATTTGTCAAGCATTCTCTGTATTTCAAGCACACCGTCAGCGGGGTAGCTGGAGAGAGCTGATACTCAGGTAGGACGTCATGCTAAGGACTGTCCCCCATGTACTTGAGGGGGTGAGAACCAGCCTTGGGGGTGGTTCCATGGGAAAGCAGGGGGCTCTGGCCTGGGAAGGGAGGGTTGAGTGGAAGGGAGGATTGTGGGAGGATGGAATCTGGGAGGGGGCTGAGACTGCTCTAATGGGCAGTGAAAGGTTAGCAGGAAATGAGGCAGGGCTGGGGGCTGGAGGTGGCATGGGGTTATGGCAGTTATAACAGGGAGGCAAGGGCGAGAGGGGGTTAAGGGAAGAGAAGCTGACACAGGGGTCTTAGAGGGGGGCTTCAGAGGGCCTTGGAGGTACTGAAGGATGGAAGCTTGAGCTGGCTGCCTGGAGGGCCATCTCCAAGAAAAACTGGAGCTTGTCATGCTGCCTAGCACCATGCAGCTTGCAGCTATGTGGGAGAGATGGCTTGTCCCCATTTTATGAATGGCAAGATTGAGCCACAGAAACTTACATCACAAGTGAGTGGAATGGCTGGGACTTGAATCCTGGCAGCCTTAGGGTTTTGTATCCAAGCTCTTAAACCCATTATACAGATGTTCGCAAGCTTGAGAGCCCATCAGCATCACCTGAAAGGCTGGTTAAAGCCCAGATTGCTGGGCCCCACCCTCAGAGCGGCTCATCAGTGAGGATCATCAGTGAGGCATGGGTAGAGCTTGATAATCCACAGTTCTAACAAGGTCCCAGGTGATGCTGATGGCGATGTTGCTGGCCCAGGAACCACACTTTGACAATATTACATTACACTACACTACACTGTCCTTAGAGGGAGCACAAAGCTGAGGTGACTGTAGAGAATTTAGGGAGGAAGTGGAGCTATTACATAGAAAACTGAGCAAATAAGACACGAGGTGATAATTAAAGGCAACACAATAAAAATTATAAGAAAAACAATCATCATAAACTATAATGCTCAGCTGGAAATAATATATTGTCATTACAATGTAAAATCAACACGTCGTTTTAACCAAAAATTATGGCATAATTATTTGTGGAAACTTGGAGTATGTGTGTGTGTGTGTGTGTGTGTAGAGAATAAAGAAAGGAAAACAATTCTTTTTTTCTATAGCTGTAGTTAATGGAAAGGTGTATAATTAGAATATCTTGAGGTGACACCTGTAATCAGGATTGAAGAGGCAATCACAGATTTAGCTATTGCTTCATGGGATGAGACTTGGGGGTGGGATAGGATTTTTGTTATCAGCCTTGTGGTAATATTTAACTTGAAGAGAAACTAATCTTAAACATTACGTATGTTTGTTACTAGGGTTAAAATGAAAAGTGGGCGTGGGCTTTAGCCACCACTGAGCCAGCCTGTCAGCTTGGTGGCGCTGTTCGGCTTCTGGCCATGACGTTCACCTGTTGTCCTGCATCACCTAAAAGCATCTGGAGGGTTACAAGCAGCCAGTGCCCGAATCACACCCTGGAAACACTGCACTAGAGACACTGATTCCAGCAGGACGCAACAGAGAGGTCCTCTTGTCTACTAAACAAGGGTCCGAGTTGCAGAACCAATGATGGAAGCAAATACAGCCACCCTGCTTCACATTTCAAAGGTGCTTCCCCTGAAAGGGCTCAGCAATCCCAACACTTCTCCTCTCTCATCTGGAAATTGCATAAAAATTCTTTGTCAGGCTATATTTGCAGCAGAAAATTGGTTGCTAAGTTCCTAGCCGCTGTTTATGGCTTTTGGAAAGATAAAGGAATACATTACAGAGCTAGCGGGGCAAAGTCTTTAATTCTGTGATATTAGGATATTCAGAATAAATGATCATGGAATCTGGTTGAAAAGTACACAACCATAAGGCAACAAAGTACTCTCATTGATCAAAGTGTAAAGCAATAACAGCCTTTTAGGAAGGCAATTTGATCATTCATTGTTTATTAATATATTTTAAAATTAATGGACTTTGGCCCAGCAATTTTATTCCTAGGGTTTATCCTATAGAATACTTACCCAAGTGTGGAACAATATATGTGCAGCAAGGATTTTGGTGGTCATTTGTAATAGTGAAATATTAGGAATACTCAAGTACCAGAGGCAGGGGACTAGTTATGTACCACCACACATTTGAATATAATGTAGGAAAGCAGGCATTAGCTCTGTATGTACTTCCAAAGAACAAATATTCGCTATATATTTGTACATAAAAAAGCAAATGTAAACTAGGATCTATAGCAGCCGTGGGCAAACTACGGCCCGTTTGAAATGAATAAAACTAAAAAAAAAAAAAAAAAAAGACCGTACCCTTTTATGTAATGATGTTTACTTTGAATTTATATTAGTTCACACAAACACTCCATCCATGCTTTGGTTCCGGCCCTCCGGTCCAGTTTAAGAACCCATTGTGGCCCTCGAGTCAAAAAGTTTGCCCACCCCTGATCTATAGTGTGACCTCATGTTTAAATATCCTATATAATAAAGAGGGAATATGCAAATCGACTGTCACTCCTCCACAAAGATGGCTGCACCCACAGTGGAGGCCGAGTTTCCATAACGAGTCTTAACAAGCAATCAGCAGGGACCTGAGGCTGCATCCCCCCATCTCCTACCCCCATGGGGCTTAACAGGGGACCTCAGGCCATGCCCCCTCCACCTTGGCGCCAGGCCAGGGGACCTCAGGCCGTGCCCTCCACCTGGTAGGGCTTGACGGGGCACCTGAGGCTGTGCCCCCTGCCCGCAGGGCTTGATGGGGGACCTCAAGGTGTGCCCCTCACCCTGGTGCTGGGCTGGGAGTGTGTGTGGGAGTGTGGGGACCTCAGGTGGCTCCCCCTGTCCTGGCACCAGGCCAGGGGACCTCAAGCTGTGCCCCCCACACCGGCACCAGGCCTGGGGACCTCAGGCTGCTCCCCTCACCCCAGGCCGGGGTACCTCAGGCTGTGCCCCGCCCCAGTGGGGCTTGACAGGGGACCTGAGGCTACGCCTCCCTCCTAGCACCGGGCCGGGGGACTTGAGGCTGCACTCCCTGCCCGGTGGGGCTTGCCAGAGGGTCTCAGGCCACATCCTCCACCCAGCGGGGCTTGACAGGGGACCTCAAGGCGCACCCCCCGCCCTGGCCCAGGCTGGGGGACCTCAGGCCGTGCCCCACATCCTGGTGCCAGGCCAGGGGTCCTGAGGCCACGCCCCTCCACCTGGCAGGGCTTGACGGGGGACCTCAAGGTGCACCCCCCTCCCCCAGTGCTGGGCGGGGAGACCTCAGGCTGCTCCCCTCGCCCCAGGCCGGGGGACCTCAGGCCGTGCCCCAGTGGGGCTTGACAGGGGGCCTGAGGCTGCACCCCCCTCTTAGCACCAGGCCGGGGGACCTGAGGCTGCACTCCCTGCCCGGTGGGACTTGCCAGAGGGTCTCAGGCCGCATCCTCCACCCAGCAGGGCTTGACAGGGGACCTCAAGGTGTGCCCCCTGCCCTGGCCCAGGCTGGGGGACCTCAGGCCATGCCCCACATCCTGGTGCCAGGCCAGGGGTCCTGAGGCCACGCCCCTCCACCTGGCAGGGCTTGACGGGGGACCTCAAGGTGCACCCCCCTCCCCCAGTGCTGGGCGGGGAGACCTCAGGCTGCTCCCCTCACCTCAGGCTGGGGGACCTCAGGCCATGCCCCAGTGGGGCTTGACAGGGGGCCTGAGGCTGCACCCCCCTCTTAGCACCAGGCCGGGGGACCTGAGGCTACACTCCCTGCCCGGTGGGGCTTGACAGGGGACCTCAAGGTGCGCTCCCCACCCTGGCCCAGGCTGGGGGACCGCAGGCCGTGCCCCGCATCATGGTGCCGGGCCAGGGGACCTGAGGCTGCGCCCTCCCCCCACCCCCGCTTGACAAGGGTGGGACTGGCAAGGTCTGGATCTAGCCCAATAGTGGGGGGTGGGGGGGCAGCCAGGTCTGGATCTCGTGCAATTTTGAGACACATGTGGGCAGGCAGGGACTTGACTCTGGGTCCTATGGTGCGCCCCAGACTCTGACAGGAGGAAGATTTTCATATACATTTTACTAGAGAAAGGGCAAATAGCAGTTAAAATATTTCCTCTAATTAATCCTCTTTTAGTGTGCACAAATTTCGTGCACTGGGCCACTAGTGTATACATAATTGCTAACCTTACTTGAGTTGTGTCTCTGTATTTGGAGCTGTCCTAAGTGCTCTATAAAGACTAAATTTATTATTTCAATAAGCCTATAGTGTAGGTCTTATGATTATCTCCATTTTTTTTTTTTTTTGTAGAAATTGAGGCACAGACAGGTTCTGTGACTTTCTCAAGGCCATGCCACTTAGAAGGTGGAGCTTGGATTCAAACCCAGGCATATCTATTACGGCCAAAGGGCCTGCTCGGGCGCCACTTGTTACAGCCAAAGGTGACCCTGCGTGGGGGGGTGAAAGGATTGAGAAAAGACAGACAAGAGAATGAAAGCTGGGTCTCAGTGGGACGCTGCTCCCTGATGAGGAGACAGCAGCGCCCACCAGCCGTGTCTTTATTTTATAGCAGATGCCACGAGGCAAAGTAGGGGCGTGATCACGTTGTTTACAGCATTCTTGTGAGTTTCATCCCCACTCAACTACATGCACCTGGACTCTAGCACAAGGCACGTGGGGCCACGAGTTCGGACCATAGGTTCAAGCTTACAACCATAGCTGTTGGCTGTGATTGAGCTGGGAGGGCCCTGCCCTTCCAGCTGGGACTTGCACGTGGCAATGAGAGGACCCTGTCCTTTCATTAGTCCGAGGTTTGAACCTGGACAACACACTGTAGCCGCGTCCCACACATATCCAGTTCCAAAGCTTGTGATCTTAAACCAGCCGTGGGCAAACTACGGCCCGCGGGCCGGATTCGGCCTGTTTGAAATGAATAAAACTATTGAAAAAAAAGACCGTACCCTTTTATGTAATGATGTTTACTTTGAATTTATATTAGTTCACACAAACACTCCATCCATGCTTTTGTTCCGGCCCTCCAGTCCAGTTGAAGAACCCATTGTGGCCCTCGAGTCAAAAAGTTTGCCCATCCCTGTCTTAAACCATCACACAATACAGCCACTCTGCTTATGCACTTGTGTGTCGTTGTGCAGACCTAAAGGGAACATTTGGATAAATAATACTCTAGATGACAAGAAAACTTCTCTTTAGGCGATTCTTTCAACGTTTCATATGCTTTGACCTTTTTATGTATATCTTTAAAAAAAATAGTTTTATTGATTTCAGAGAGAAAGGGAGAAGAGAGAGAAACATCAGGGATGAGAGAGAATCATTGATCTGCTGCCTCCTGCATGCCCCCTACTGGGGATTGAGCCTGAAAATGCCCCTGACCAGGAATCGAGCCATGACCTCCTGGTTCATAGGTCAATGCTCAACCACTGAGCCACGCTGACTGGTCTTTATGTTTTTGGTGGTAATTTTAAATACTTTTTTGCAGATATGAAAAAGAATTAAATTCAATTAAGAAAATAACATACCATAGTGCAGACTGTATCCTATGGCTCATTTCCTCAGTGAGTGCTAAGCTCCTACTGTTTGCCAGCGTGGAGGCTGAGATAAATAAAACCCCGTGCGTGCCATGGAGGGACTCATAGTCCAGTGAGGACACCAAGAAAGCAGTACCCAGTCCACAGTCCTTCCTGACTCTATTGCATGGTGATTTTACTTTAGATTGTGGTCAAACAGTGAAAAATGAGGCTGCACCATAGATGTCAATACTGTAAGTGTTGCCACCATAGATGTCAATACTGTAAGTGTTGCCTCTTTCAGCTAATGGGAACCAGGTGGTGTGCTGGGCCCTGAGCATTATACACTGCCTTGCTTTCTCTATAAAACGTATTGCTTTAACCAACATTTACTGGGCTTGAGGCCCTTTGTGTGAGTTGGGGATACTGAGATGACTAAGACAAGTTCCCTGCTGGCAAAATCTGGTATTGTGAGGAAACCTGCCATGTTTCTCTGTCGGTGAAAAAAAATAACATTTAAAAAGCACTTACCAAGGACTGGTTCATACACTTCTTATATATACTAATTTATTGGATTCTTAACCCTATGATATACTATTACTGTATTCTCTCTTTTACAGATGAGGACACTGGGGCACAAGGAGGTTAGGCAACTTGCCCAAGATCAGGCAGCCAGGAAGCAGAAGATCAAGGAATTTCAACCCAGGTTAGGTTGTTGGAAGAGCACAGCTGAAGAGACCAGCTTGTGGTAGAACAATCATAATAAACACTATATTAGCAACCGTGACAGCACCAGTTGCAATCACACGGGCTTTGGGAGTTTTAAGTGCTTGCACAGACTTGTCTCCGTATTAGGTGGTCCCAGATATAAAATGACCCAGATATAAAATGACCCAGATATAAAATGACCAGACAGAAAATGTTTGGGGGACCGACTTGAATATATACATTCTTAAGGCTGGAGATGAAATAATCAAATGTCTATGTAGAATATTTAATTTATTATGTTAGGTATGCACATACTCTCAAGATTATTAATACATTATTTAAAAATATATTTTACAAATATATTATGTGTTAATAATACATTACTTTAGAAATACTGTTCCCCCTCCCCAGGCTTGTATTTAACAAAACAATTTTATCCTCTCTCTTCTTGTTGTGTACCTTTGATCTCAGTATTTTTATTATCACTGGGGATGGTTTCTGAATCACCCCGCTCACCTTCTAGATCACATAGATTTCAATTCTAACTTGTTTGTGAGCCATTACTTTCTGAGACTTTATACAATGCTGTCACTGAAATATTTTATCCTCAAAGTCCCAGTTCACTCAATCTTCAGACAGTATTGTTTTTCTTTTTGTCCTATTGATTTATGTTTGTGATCACAACATCTTAACATTTTAATGCGTTGCATTTAAAGGTCCTCTTTATAAGAGGCATGAGGCCAACCCCTCGGAATTATGACTACATCTGTGTCAAAAATTGTTTGCTCTTTTTTTTAAAAAAACATCAATTCTATCGTTTGCTTTTTTTTCTTTAACCATCAATTCTATTAGTTGGTCTTCCACAAACAGTACTTTGTTGTTTAAAATAATTGAGAGAGTCTAGGGAATATGAAAGATTCTGTGAGCTTTCCTGAGAACTTAAAAATAAGGCAACCCTTTTTTTCTTCTTAGGGATACTTTTTGGGGGAAAACACCCCGCCTTATATCCAGATTTAGACCACATGCTAACCTCATCTATTAAACGTGGCAGGCTTGCCTGTACAAATCTGTGTGGTGGGCAGTATCCTCACTTCACACATGAGACAGTTG